GGTTTGGGCCAACTGCAGTCCAGGCCCAAACCAAAGCCCAATTCCCATGTCTGCTAGGGTTAAGGGGTTTCTAATTTCTGGAGATATATATAGATGCTACTCGGCAGAAACAAGAGGACACACAGACGCAAGAGAGTTGTTCTACGCGAGAGGAGTTGTTCTGCGCAACAGCACCCAGCCGCCCAAAATCCCAGCCACCCGCCTCTGTTGTTCACTAGCAGAAGAAGAGGACAGCCGCACGAGATTGCTCTGCACATTGGAGGAAAAGCCGCCGCCCAGCCTACTCGGAGGGACGCGAATCCAATCTACAAAGAGGACCCTGAAATCTGCTTCTTCACTGCCCAGCCTTGCTTCTTCACCGCCCAGCCTTGCTTCCAGACAACAGCACACCATTCGGCAAACTGCAATTCTCCATTGTTTGGGTTTTGTTGTTTCTGATTTCCTTTTACTATGATTTTCTGCTGGGATTTATTTTTCATGGCTGTTGAAATCATAAACATGTGTGGCTAGATTTCTTTGAACTAGGGATGGGTGGATTTTAATTTTTGAAGTATGTGACTGTTTTTGTTAGTTTAATTCAAGATTTATTGATTATTTGCATGATGAGTTTATACTATTGAACTTAATGCATTGAGAGCTTGATCACCTTTCAATTGATTTAGTGATTTATGCATGAACTTGAGAAAGAATTGCATAGATTAGACCAATAATAATATAAACCATGTGTTAGACTATGAGACCGAGAGGTAATTAGCTCACATGTGGTAGTGGAGGAAGAGAAGAGAGTTAGTAGCTCCCCCTTCTTAAACTAGAGGTTTCTATAGAATTTAATGCTCATTAGTTTGTTTAAAATTACATAGAAATATGATTAATTTAGCAAACAAATGAAGGATTAGCTTGACTTGAGAAAGCTGGTTAATTAATTTAGGGAAATCCACCATCTCATACAATAACACTATTATTTGAACTTGAATTAAATTAATGAAACAGCTGCATAATTCAGAATTAAATGAAATCCAAACCCTAGTTCCTTCTCATTCATAGTTTCTTTAACTTAGAAAATTCTTTAGTTTAATTTTCTTTAGTTGACTTAGTTTTCTTTTAAATAGTTTAGTTTTCCCCATTAATTGATTAATTCAACTTAGGTTAGATTAATAGGGTCTTGGTAGTGTAGGATAGTTCTCGAGAGAACGATATCTTACTCATATTATACTGCATAATCGATTAGCTTCACTTGCCTAAAAGTAGTGCATATTTGGTGCATCAGGTGTAGAGGTGAAAATTTTGCTAGAGGCATATGGGAGGGAAACAGCGTAGAAGGAGGGAAAAATTTCGGGTAGGGGGGTTGGCATGGGTAGGCCTTGGTGGGCTGGCAAAAAGCATCAAACACTTGGTGGAAACGGGCAGATGGAAGAAAAATATATCTAGTGCAAATTCGGGGGATAAAAACATAAAATTTTAGTTACCATCTATTTAAATGTACTGTACCTGCAATTGGTCCTTTTTCTCTTGTAGAATATACTTAGTCTGCTCATATTGATCCATTTCAATACAAAAAGGTGGGATTTGCTTCACATGTCGGCAGAGTATGGGTCCCCTTAACCATCAGCAGTTCACATCCAATAATACATTAAATAATAAAATGTAGAAATTCGATTAGCTAGTTAAGAAAATTAAAAGCTGAACACTGTCAATCTTATCTTCTCCCCTGCGATGACAATTGACACATTTTGGCTAAAACTCATTACATGTGCGTGGAAGAAATATTAATTTCATTAACATTATCTTCTCTTCTTCTCTCTATCTCTTTACTCTCCTTTTTCTTTTTTTCCCTTTTTTTTCTAACTTTCTATTCAAAAGTTATATTGGGACAGCTCTAATTCTGAGAGGAATTGTTGAGAATTTACCTAAAAAACCCAAAAACCAAACCAGAAATCCCATCTCGTGGTTTTGAGAAATCTAAGCGTCCTTCATATGCTGTGGGATCAATCTCCTCTGTATTCAAACAGATGAGATATGGAAATCCTATATCAACAAAACAGCAGTAGAAATCATCAATTCAATTAATGGTGCAAAGGTGAAAATTTTGCTAGAGGCATACGGGAGGGAAACACCGTCGAAGGAGGGAACAATTTCGGGTAGGGGGTTGGCATGGGTAGGCCTTGGTGGGCTGGCAAAAAGCATCAAACACTTGGTGGAAACTGGCAGATGGAAGAAAAAAATGTCAAGTGGAAATTTGACGGATAAAAACACAAAATTTTAGTTAGCATCTATTTAAATGTACTGTACCTGCAATTGGTTCTTTTTCTCTTGTAGAATATACTCAGT